AGCTGGATTGTGTTCAGTGACGCCGGGAGGGATTCCTCCCGGCGGTGTTGCCTCTCTTGGCACCGGGTATCCCTTGGGATACCCGGATATCCGCCAGGTTTGGGCGGCAAAACAGCCATCCGCAGCCGAAACCGCACCCGCTGACGGGTATCCGCTGGCACTGGCGGGTATCCGCCAGCGGATAGCGGATATCCGCGGCGGATTATCCGCGACCATCTCTAGTGGCTGTCACTGTCAGGAAGGTAGAAAACACCACTCACCTTTCATCTGCACTCTTGTTCTCTTCATCTCCTAAAGAATCCACCACAGTGTTGTGGACCGCTCACTCGCGAATCAACACCTCGATCTCCTTAGCCTCACAAATCCACGGTGGGCACACAGTCTTGCCCGTTGGCTTCCTCGCATTGACCATAGTCCTAAAGTTTGTTTTCAGAGGATCGGCCTCGCACTCCAATCGGTTATTCGCAATAGCCCAATGGTTGTATAGGGCTTGCACCTTCAACCATTCCTGGCTTCCTAATGGGAGTATCTGGCGGACGCAGTGGTTGAGTGCCTTGCAATTGGCTTGCGAGTAGCCCTGAGATCCCGGAGCGCGACCGCCAGCGCGCTTTTGCGAAGAGTTCGTTGATCCACGACCGCCTCGGGTACTCTGCTGGCCGGATTCGCTTGGCCTGGGGTTCTGGCTCCGAGGGCCAGCTTGGGCTTGGCTCGGATGGGGAATTGGAGTCGTTGGGGTTGTTTGGGTTAGACATGTCGGAAGTCGGATGCGATATATGTTATATCGATCTGGAAAGCTGGGAGGGATCATGGAAACCCTCCCGTAGATTTGGGAGTAGGGCGCCCCCGGGGCACACCAAAAAATCTGGGAGAATTCCCCCCAGATCTGGATCTGGGAGGGCCTCCCAGATCGACGGGAAGTCTTCCAGTATTGATCGCACTGAGGACTCAGGTTCGTGACACTTCGCTGGTGCCGGCTGTTGACTGGCGGGCGTTCTCAGTGCGTACTGTAGCCATTGACGGTGGGAGGATACGCCCTGTGGATGGGTTCCGCGGCAGGTCAGCCCGGTGGCGGCTAAAGACCAACCTGGCTGGATGAGGTTGACCAGGGCGCATCGGACTCCCGGTGGGGACGGCCTCAGGACGCTGCCATCCCAGGGGTAACCCACTTTTTCCGGATTGCGCCCGCGGTGTAGAATAGAAAGGAAGAAGCCCCCCAAGGTCAATGGTTTTTTTTTTTTTTTTTTTTTTTTTTTTTTTTTTTTAAAGTGCTATTGATTTCACATACCGCACTATCTATCTAGTTTATGTTATGGACATACAAAAATATCTTCTAGTACCAGGAAATAACACGTCATAGATCAAAAGAGACGAGACCGCAAACATAATAAACTAAGTGGCGAAGGTCAATGGTTTTGTGAATGTGGGGCTTGGTTTGGTGGTCGATGGGATTTCTTCGGGGGAAACGGGGGAAGGAAGACTCATGACATCATGTATGTATGTACAGTGGGTGGACCGTTATTTTTGGCTTCATGTTTTGGATTCCAGAGCTTCAAAGCACCCACTTAAAGTCACAAGAATTGGTGAATTGGTGCAGAATAGGTCCCAAAGAATGAATATGAAAAAATAAAAACAAAAAACAAAGTTTCAAAATTTGTGAAAAATAAAAAATAAAATTTATTTTTCTCAAAAGGTTTGAAATTTGTTTTGGGGGGATTGAGAGTGCTGAGAGAAAGGAAGATTGGGGATATTAGAAAAATGATTATGAATGGAAATTTTGGGAAAAATTGCTTTCTCGATGGCTTCAAAGAGCTGTTGATTGGCGCATTCATCAGACCACATTGCAGTAAAAGCACTAGGAATTTACTGTTTTGGCTTCCATCTGGACAACC